CTTGCAAAAATGCCCAAAATCGCAAATTTGACATCCATTGCACGCAGCAATTCGATTCAATCCGGTTGTCCCACTAGCTAGGCCACTAATAAGATGCAGCTAGATCGACATTACACTAGATAGCAGGAGCCGTTTAGAGATTAAGTAAACGCAGATACTAGCAGCAGCTAGCAAATTACTAATCTGACGGAAATGAATTTAAATCATAAGTCTGCATAACAAACTAGTTAAACTCGCCGTTGACGATTAATAATGCATGGGATAATTAACCGGCATGTAGGATGTGCATGCGGTTCATGAGGTGCTTGCTGACCACAAATCGAGCATCACAGCTAGAACAAAATACAAACTGGGGAATGCATGATTAAAAACATAGTGGCATGTCCAAAATCCCAAATTTGACGTTCGATTCGATTGTCTCACAGTCACAGATAATATGCAGAGCCATACTACACTACTACATTACCCCTGACTGATGAAGCTAAACACAGATAGTAGCATAGCAGCAGATTAATCTGACGGACCAAACTGAACTGAAACCATAAGTCTTCTGAATAATAAAGTACAGTAGCTAGAGATCATCATAGGTAACAGAAAAGACTGATTGGTAGGAGGAGCGTGGCTTGGATCAACAATTCAAGGGTTCCCAATCCCACCACCTTGAATCGCTTGTCAACAGCCTGGATCGATCGGGTGAAGTAGTGAGCTGCCTAATCTGTTGATGGATATGGCCCGTCCTGCAGGAAGATGAATTGGACACTCAGATTGATCATTGATGGATGAATTGGACAGCAGAGGAAGGTTTGTTGGGCTTTGGACAGACCTCTGAGATGTACGTGACCTTGTCGGTGAACTCGGCGAGGCTGGCGAGCTCCTTGGGGTCGAGGAAGCGGGAGAGCACGGCGACGGCGAGGTCCACGTGCTTCACGGCGAGGCTCAGGATGGTGCACCCGCGGTCCAGGAAGTCGAGCGCCTTGTTCAGGTCGATGGCCGTCTTGGGCTTGCCGTCCGGCGAGGCGGTGTCGCGCTTGCCGCCGGGGTGCGAGGGCCGGGAGCCGACGAGGTGCTCGATGCAGCGCGGGATGTGGTACTCCTCGGGCAGCTTGACGGCGAAGAGCGCGGCCTCGACGCGGGCCAAGGCCTCGGGCTGGGTGGTGGGGCGGGCCGGGAGGCGCTGCGCGAGCAGCGCGTCGTGGAGCTGCTCGTCGGGCATGACGGCGAAGGAGGGGTTCATGGCGAAGCGGCCCCCGTTCTTGACGGCCAGCTCGAGGCAGGTGCTCAGCATGCGGGCGCCGGCCTCCATGCCGATGTAGTAGACCTTGAAGAGGTCCGTGGCGAGCTCCCGGAGCTTGGCGTCGTCGGCGTTCGCGGGGGCGGCGGCGGGGGTGGCGGCCCGCAGGCGCTGCAGGCGGCGCTGGAGCTGCAGCAGGCGGTCGCGCTGCGGGCGCAGGTTCTTGGCGGCCATCATGGCCTGCATGAGGACGCTCCCTACCTCCTCCTTGCTCACCTCTCCCGCCATGGCCGCCGCCTCCTGATCTCTCTCTCTCGGATCGCAGTTGTGGGATGGGAGGAAGGACAGGAGAAAAGTTTGGAGCTTTGATTTTTGAACAATGGCGGAGGGAATGGAGGAGGGAATCGGGATGGGGCAACGGACGCGAATCCTTCTGGCTTTGCAGGCGATGAGGCTCTGCCTGGTGGGCCCACTCGAACGGCCTCTTTGACTCCTTTTGGCTGCCGTCACCAAGGGTCGCCTGCTACCTCAGCTACCGCTACAGGACAATTACCATCACTGTAGGTGATTTTTGAAATTTCAAAACCCTGAGAAAAAAAATTCTTACTGGCAACACAGTGGATTTTTTGGTAAATTTGTATCATAGGAACACGGGGATTTGCATCGACTAGCATCTACTAGGTGCAAAGGGAAGACCGTCGAGTTGGGCAGCACAGCGAGAATCGAGCGAGCACGGCCAACATTGCCGTCCTAGATGTCCGAGTAGCAGGCGGCTCGTTGGCGCTCTTGGAGGAGGTTGCGTTGCCACCGTAAGTTCCTGCGGGCCAGCATGGCCTGCATGCATGTGCACGCTCCCTACCTTCTCCTTGCTCACCTCTCCTGCCATGCTTGCCGCTCCGCTTGTTGACTTCAAGAATTGAGGGGAGAGGAGAGGTTGGAGCTTTGAAGAAAAGGTGAGCTGGGGAGTGAAGGACATTTACAAATCGGAAGTGTTGTTTTGATCCCGAGCTCATATACATTTTCAAACCGAAACCGTTGTTTTGATCCCGAGCTCATATACATTTTCAAACCGAAAGTGTTGTTTTGATCCCGAACTCATATACGTTTCCAAACCGAAAGTGTTGTTTTGATCCCGAACTCATATACGTTTCCAAACCGAAAGTGTTGTTTTGATCCCGAACTCATATACATTTCCAAACCAAAAGTGCTGTTTTGATCCCGAACTCATATACATTTCCAAACTGGAAGTGTTGTTTTGATCCCGAGCTCATATACATTTCCAAACAGAAATGTTTTTTTGATCCGTCCATGCTTCCCCGCCGCCGCCGGAGGAGGCCGGCGAGCGAAGCTCACCCGACGGACGGCGAGCTCTCCTTCTCTCTCCGCGAGGGGATCTCTAGCCAAGACACGACGACGACCCTGGGAGCCCGGTGTGGAGGCGGAGTTTGTACGATTGGGCGGCGGCTGAGCCACCACGACAGGGGGGGGGAGCATGAGGCCGTCCATGACGACTAGCAGCAATGGATCTAGAGTTACCCACCCCACATCCATTCTCCTCCATCATCACGCGACGCCTGGGGCGACGACCCTAAGCTTGGTGGTGGTTATCTCCTTCGTCGGAGGTGGTCGGCCTAAACAATGGGTGATCGGATCTCGAGATCCGTCATTTAGTCCCGGCTGCGAGCCGGGGAGACATATTTGTCGGTGAAAACCGAGCCGGCGGCGGGCGATGGCGGTGTTCTGCGTCGTTATCTTGATGAAGGCATCATCGTGTAACTAGTGTCGACCCACTCGTACTGCTCTGAAGCAAACCCTAGGATCTGGCCTTCCAGATCGGATGATAGCGGCACTGCGGTGTCGTTTCTCTCTTGGGAGCTTCCTTTGTGGAGTTGCGCTGGATGACAGAGGCACGAGGTGGAGCGGCTTCGTCTTGGACGGAGCTTCGGTAGAGATGTCAAGTCATGTCTCGCCAACAGGTGCTATGCTGTGTCATGCCTGGCCGGCAGGTGTTACGCATGACATATCCTCCAGAGATTTCAGGCTGCATCGGCTGGTGGTACTTGATGGCATGGTGCTGCAGTGTGCCGGCGGCGACCGCGACGTGCTCAGCAGTTTGCGCGCAGGGAAGTGGTGTCGTTGGGTGCCGTGGTGTCATTGACGGGTGGCGGACTTGCACGGATGATGTGTGATTAAAAACATTTCCAAACCAAAAGTGTTGTTTTGATCCGGTGAATACTCAAGAAATGATCCGGTGGAGAAACTTTGAAAACTATGAAAACATTAGTTAATATTTGGCACAAAAATAATCAAAATTGAGGTCCGTGCGGAACTCACTGCACAAAGGGTGCTCACCACCGCGGATCTCTATCGTGTGGCGCGCCAATGCGCCCGATCCTTGGAAGCCGACGTTGTCCCGAGATCCGACCGCTTCCATCTCACGGAGCCGGTCCTTCACGGGATCCCCGTCCCTCTGAACGGGCTTGAGCAGGTCCAGTTGGCTTTACGGGCCAGGCTCGTCGCTTCCGGCAGCCCCACTCGTGCCGAGTCGGTGGTTGCGCCGATCACCCCAACGGAGCCAGTTGTCCGGGAATGCGGGGCATCACTCTAGGACTATGCATTGGCCATACCCTTAGGACTAAAGTGCGGTAAAAAGAAAAGCCTATGATATCGAATCAGCATTCCACGAGCGCCAGGACTGAAGTGAGTTTCTCACAGAAGTACAAAGGACAAACTGTAATTAACTCTGAATCTCTGATAATCTGAACCACCTTTATTTTTTTAACTACAAACTGACTGAAGTGTGGCACATGTAGGAAGCATACTGTTATTGATGCATCCTCCCAAACAACCTGACCAGCAAATGTATCATGCAGTTCATCATGAGTTTCTCGGTGACTATGGGTCGATCATTACAATTCACAGCCATACCAGATAACCGGTAACGCGATGCAGAGCAAGATTACTGTCCTATGATCGAAGCAAATTCCATCCCATGAAACAATTGAGCACATTGTATGTATAGTAGCATGCCCAAATTCCCAATTTTGACAGATAAGAGGCAGATATGACATTACACCACATCACCCCCCTACCTGTAAGTGATGGTGAAACTAATTAAGAAAGCTACGCTTCTTCTCAACACAGATATAGTAGCAGTTGAATAATCTGACCGAACTGGATTGATACCAAACATATCTAAAAAGGAAAGTGATGGGTTCAAATTTGGTCTTCGAGCGAAGCTTAAGCTCGAACACATCAATTTTCGAACTCAACCACCTCATATCTATACTGCAAAAAAGGACAAAACAAAGTTGAGTTTTTTGGCCATCCCTACCATGTCCTAGACCTCCTCTGATGACGTCTTACCGTGGTGAACGACGAGAGGCATCCATGGCAAAAAATGGGGACTATTAGGTCATGCAGTTATGATGTGCTTGCGAAGGTGGGCAAGAGTGGAGGCTTGGATCGTTGATGGAGGGAGCCCTAGGAAGCTAGCAGACAACATCGAGAAGGGACTATCTATCATGGAGACCATGGATACAGATAGTAGAAAGGAACAAGCACTTTTCTGGAGAAAAGAAGAAGGCTTAGAAAAGAATTTTGCTGGAAATGTGGGTTGATGGGAATATACGAAGAAAGACGGGTGGATCCAGCGTGCATCAAGTTGTGAGAAATACATTTTTACTATTTTTGCGTGAACGGGCACATGTAAATTTGTCTAGGTGACGGTGGTTTATATAATTTATTATATAAATAGGTTAACAAGGTAATAAAATAAAATTAACATGTGGGTCAACTGTGGTTATTTAGGTTATGCATTAAGATATTCCCTAGTACAAAATTTAAAGCATGGCCTAAACTGGTGAAAAACCATCCACCATGTTCGACAAAAAAAAATCTCGCAAATTAGAGTTTCTAAATGTTTCACCTGAAACAAACTCTCAAACTAGCTAGCAGAAACTTCAATATGTTCGCCAAAATCTCTAGGAGAGTCACGACCCGTTCCAAGCATCGATCACCTGGAGAGAACTGAACCAGTAGAAGAGGATTGCCAGTTCAGGCATCCATCACAAGGAGCGGTTGATGAGACCACGCACGACGACCAAGCCCAGGACGAGCAGGTGATCCATTTCCTGCGCCACCGTGAGCGTCAGCACGTCCTCCCCCAGCACCACCCCCGCCGACGTCTGCTTCCGCGCCACCTCCGCCACGACCGAGCCATCCACGCCGCGGACTCTGTACTCGGGCTTGCGCGCGCCGGAGCACCCGTCCATCCTGTAGCACGTCCTTGCGCCACCGTGCATCGCCACGACGGCCCCGCCCTTCTTAGCACGACGCACGCTGAACCACGGCGTCGCCTCCTCCTCCTCGCTGCCGTCGTGGGTGCAACGGCAGACCTCCCACCTCCTGAACGTCCAGAAGCCCTTGCGTCTGATCCTAATGAGTGCGTTCCCTTGACGGTCCATGAAGAGGGCCTCGTGGCCGCCCCTGCAGCCGTAGTTGTCGACGCGGAAGGCGACGGCGCCGTCGGGGCCGTACACCGCGCAGCCGTTGCCGTTGAACACCAGCGACTTCATCCACACCGTGTACGCCTGCCTGCCCGGTTGAACTCCGGAGGAAGAAGTGGAGCAGGGAGAGGAATGAAGGGGCTGGATCTTGGCCATGGTCGAGAATGATTGCTCTGCTCCGCTGCTGTTGCGACGAAGTAGATGGGATGATTGGGATGGTAAGCGTCAATGGCTGGTTCCACCTATGTATACTCGCACCTCGTTCGTTATCACGTGGTCCGTCTGAATTAGTCTATCGGCGCTGTACACATCACGCGTTAGTATAGAATAGTTCTGCACCCGAGTTGTTTGCACTGGGTACCTGCCAGCCAGCATTCAGTTAGCGCCACGTTTGCATGGTGCCTGTACGTGGAGCATTTTGCATGACATGTCGTTTGTTTGGACTTGGTTTTTAGTATGACATGGCAATCTGGGGCATAGTGGTTAATGAAATTTGCAAGTGCATCAGAGGGGGAAAAAATGGAAGCAAATTAATCTGAAGCAGCACAATGAGAACAAACTCTAGCAGATGCGCCATGTCACCCGGATCACCGTAATAACAACTCATATGGTGTTTGCAGCCCAAAGAATGGTCTAACCGGCCTTAACATCCATAGCATAACTTTGTCGGCCGATCCAAATAGTGGGTCACAACCTTCAGATTTAGAGGCTGGAGGCACCGACATGAAGCGAGCTGCAAACCCAATCGCTTGCGCACGAGGAAAGTTTCTGCGAGTTATT